AGCCTGCCTACTTGAGGAGCCTCTCCTCTCCATATCTTTCTACCAGTCCAAGGAGGGCTGATCAAGTGGACACATTCTGAATCTCATTTTGATGGCGGACCCTGTCCTCTGCAGTATTATGCTAATTATAAATCCCCCAGAGTTATGGAGGAGTTGGGCAGTCTCCCCTCTCTCTCTCTCTCTTGACCCATATCCCTCATAGAAGGACTCTGAGCAGCGTAAAAAGTAAACCTATGTAAAGATAGTGTTTCATACAGTGTCCTCAATGCAGGTAGTGCTGAGCTGACTCTGAATTCATGAATGATGGAGTCCATGAAATACCCTGATCCTCCCTGAAGGATACCTGATACTCACTGAAAATTTCCTTTTGCAGGCTCTTGTCTTTTATGCAACACTTAAATCAAGTTCTGCATGCTCATAGAATCCCATTTGCCTAAGTGTTTGAAAGGGAACACAACCTTTTAATTCAGCCATACATGATATATTATTTGGCTGAAGAAATGTGAAAATTCTGCCCAGCAGGAAACGTTACTTCCTTCCAGTATGTATTAAGGATCGTTTAACCCCAAATGTAAAATAAAATAACTGTCTCTTCTGACATTGACACCACCGATTTCCATTGTACTAGCTGCATTATACAACTTCTTGGCAGTTCCATATCATGGGGCCAGGATCCTCGCAGTGCAAAAACACTTTCTTTCTTCTTTAATGTGAGATAGTATATCCAGATCTTCTGAGTTATGTTTAGGATGAGTCTCAAGAGATTTAATAATTAAATTGCGTTATACTTTCCTGTAAAGAAAATCAGTTTTATGTTCCACAATCTGGAAATACCACACTGCCCAAAGACAAATGGTTTATTTTCTGGAGATTTGGGAAGGCTGGGTCCACATTGGATGGAGAGGCATCCAAAGTTTTTTTAAAAAAACCCTCCTTTTTCAAACCTTTGGCCAGAATGACTCATACAGCTTTATATATATCTTCTAAAACTTTATCTGTGCATAGAAATGTTGCTCAGAAACTTTGGTGAAGAATATTCAACTTTGGGTAATTATTTAATGAAGATACATTTAGAAAAAAGTAGAATATTACCCTGAAATGCAAGAAAATATGGCAGCCTTTTTATAAATTAAGGAAAAATACCTGACAGACTGCAATCCTATTTATGACATTTCAGAAGTAAATTATAAATATGACCGCAAAGAAATAATTAGAACAATTTGTATACTGGTTGTTGGCCATATTTATAAATTATGGATTATTAAATTTCATGAATTTAGGGGTGAGGAATTTAATGAATAATAGGAAGCCTGCCTGACAGAGCCTTCTTTGAGGATTGGAAGAATATTGCTTAAACTGAACTTTGCACTATATGGCATTTGTTTGTGAGAAATGCCCATTTATGCGCACGAGACACTTACAAAAGATGGTACGAATGGAGCCAAGATTGAAGCCGAATGAGAACAGCTTCTGAATTGTAGTCCTCAATAGTCCCTTTTTGTGGAAGCTGCTGGTAGATTATTTGGGGTCTGAATTTCTGTTTTAAAAGAGCAGAGTTTTTAAAAAGAAAGGGGAATTCCAAAGTGTTTCACTTAAAAAAAAAAATCAGAGAAAAATAAAATTAAGTAAACCAGCTTTAATTATTTACTTTTAGATAACAGCCATGCTTCACAAGAGAGAGCTATAATAGAAATCTTTTTCCCCACTAATGTAAGCAGGGCATTGTGCATTGTTAGCTTCTACACGAAAGAAGAACATATTTCCAATTAAAGATAACTCTTCCAAGTCATGCTGGGCTCCTGGTGACTTCATGGACAGGCTAATCAGTTTTCTGGGCAAGAATACAGAAGTGGGTGTGCCATACTGGGATTTCTTTCTTTCTTTTTTTACTCCCGTGTGTAGTTCATAGTTCTGATGTTCCTTTAAGGCCCCAAATCAGACGTTCCCAACCTGGGGTCCCCACGGCCCCCCGAGGTTACAAGAGGGAATTTCCGGGGGTGGGACAAAGAGTGGCTTGTTTCTGTTAGGGATGAGTCATAAGTCACCATTCCTTGTATGTGAATATTAATCAAACATTTTCTAAGGCTGTGGGGCATAGGACCACAGCTCTAGATGTCCTTAGTCCTAAAGCATCCATTTTGATTCTAAAATCAAATCGCTTTGATGATTCCTATCTAGCGCTGTGTCGAGGCCGTGTAAGAAAGGCCCTGTTTTGCTCCCTATTTTGAAATCAAAGGCTGCTGTCAGAGAAATGGATTTTAGGGTCCAGCCAAGCACATTGTGCAGCTATTCTTTTCCCTCTTGCTACATATATATACCAATTTTTAATTATTCCCTTATTAAAATTGTTTATCAACAACAAGATGTCCACTTTTTAGTTTTAGGAAATGACGTGCCAATCACTGCTGCTAATGAAGAAGAGGACGAAGAAGGAGAACAGTTTGACTTTGATAGCGGAGATGAGATACCAGAAGCGGACAGACAAACTATTTTGCCAACTCAAGAAGAGGCAACTTGTATAGGTACATGATTCCAGGCAAAATAAATAATGGGAAAGTTACTTTTTGCCGTGGCACGACAAAACCGCGCTCGACTAAACCGCGCCCGATTAAACTGCGTCGCTGATGTCATCAACAGGGTGACAACAGCGAGCGCGGAGAAAGAGGGACGCTTTAAATAGCGCTTTGAAACAAAGCCGCTTCAACTTAAGGTAAGGGTTAGGTTTAGGGTTAGCTTTA